CTGGCATTCCAGCTGACACTACAATTTCTCAAATTGCCGAACTTTTTTTAAAAGCATCTCAGATAACTCTGAATTAACCACCTGTACATCCAAATGCTACCATCAGTTACATACAGGAAAAAGATGCAGTTGAAGCTTTTGAGAAAAAAAAGAATGCTGAAATATCTGGCAGAAAAATTACTGTTTCATATTCTTTAGCCGCTTCACGCCCAAAGAAACGCCAGAAAAGAGTCTGGAAGTATACACGAAAAAAATTTAAATGGACTTCAAAGAAAATGAAATTACTGCCACAGCAAAATGATGAAAAGGCTGCATTATGCATTGAAGCTCATCGAAACCTAATCCGATACAACAGTATAGGAAACATTGAAAACCTGCCTGCAAATACCAACTTGGAGACCAAATGCTAATCCAACTCGGACTTTGACTGAAACTTGGGTAAATTTCATCCCAAATTCTTCGGTCCTTATAAGACAACGAAAGTTCCTCCCTCTGATATTACGAAGTATGAAATATACACCATGAAGGCACCATTATCCTGTCAACCTCTGCTAATCAGATGAACTGGTGCTGTACAAAATTAACATTTGCCACTTGGACATTGATTTTTTTTCACTTTTTAAAATTTACCTCTTTCTTTTCAGATCCACCCCGATATCTGGAGCCCACTCATGTTTCCAATTTATATGACAGTTCTAAGACTATAAACACATGATCTGGTAGAACTGTTAAGATTGAACTTAACAGACTTGAATGTTTTGAGTAGCTATCCAGTAACTCAAAGGGGAAAGGATGTTGGGAATGGCATCACTATGCCAAAGAATCAAAGGCCTGATAGAGACTGATGTTATTGGACGCCACAGAAAAGCGAGGAGTGTCGGTTGAGAAAGCTAAGGACAATGTTTGCATGATGCAGTTAGAGAGATATTTCTTATTCATTTAACTTGTACGAAAGTGAAAATAAAGCTTTTTCCTCATGTTTAAAAGATTTGAAATGCTCCATTTATGATAAGACATCTGTTAATTCATCAGGTAGATGGCTTATGAATCCTTTCTGAGCTAGCCATTGCTTGAAACATAACGCATTACATAACACATAGGATTTTATGCACCTTACCGATAGGCTTCTAAAACATTCGGCAGATTCCTTGTGAACTGCCGATATCTGCATCACTTTCTGTTCTTGTAACGCTGTGGCCACATTTTCCACTGCTACCGCTGAAACTGATTTTAGTTTTCTGCGCCGTTTCATGTCAAATGAATCGGTCTCTTCAAATTTATCTACAATTTTCCGCAGGCCGTATGTGATCATTGGGCCGGATTTTATGCCTGTGAATGTCCGGAACTTACCAATAACCAATAGCTGTTAACGTACAGTCAGTCACCATTCCAATGGAAAAGCTTTACGAGAACTGCACAATCCTTTATTGTCAGAATCATTATGAAGCACCCAGGCACAATGTTATGAGCAATTGATAGATCGATTTATTTTTATCTTAGCCATGTCTGCAGTGTGCATGTTACATCTTAGTAATTTGCATACCAACAGCAATTTGAACCCTGACAGTGCCATCTATCAGTATATTTTGAAACTACTTTTTTTTCCCTTCTCCAAACAAATTTCCATGATATCCCAATTGTTCTAGTAAAATATCAAGTCATTCTGACAAGTAATTTTTAAAGTTAGAGCATTTTGAAATCGAGCCTTTAATTATAATCACACTGTATAAACCATATGGATCTGACTTTAATCCAGTTGAATTCTTTTTCTTAAGAACACAATTCTTTATTATAATTTCCAGGTTCTTTATTTATTTGTGGATACTCTGTTGGCTTTTCCAATGAACTGTTTCTGTTGTGTTCATCATATGTTTTAGATGGTAAAATTTTCTTAGCTTCTTCATCTGTTGTATTATCTTTTCTATGGTATCTGTCAGTTATTTCTGAATTGTATATACTGCAATTAGTTTATTCCTTGTTAAAATTAATAAGTTATAATATTTGATTTTTATCAAATTTAAATTATTCCATTTCAGTAAAGGTGATCAGAGTTTCTGCTATTAAATTTTACACCTCTCACTACTTGGATTTTATTTAGTTCAGGAATATAAATTTTGTATGCTTTTCTCTTCATCATAATTCGTTTTTGAGCTCATATCCATCTTTCTAAGTTTTTCTCGTCATATATGAAAAATGTTTCACATCAAAATCTTTTAAGATAAGTAATATTAGGCTTGTGTCCTGTAAATAGTTCATATGTTGTAAACTTTTTATCATTTTTGTGACTCCTGTTATTCACATGTACAGCTTAATGTAATGCCTTCAAACCAAAATTTTATCGATAATTCTGTATCAATTAACACAGTTCTAGCAGTTACAGTTATAGTACGATTAATTATACTGTAAGGGGTTTTAAGCTCAAGGTAAGGAAGGTTCCCGTTTTTTCAAAAAATTATTTTATACTTTTAGGTCAAAATTCACTTCCATTATCACTATGAGCTCTTTTTAGTTTTTTACTTGTTTGTCTTTGTTCTTGGATGATAAGCTTGATAACAGCTTCTGAAGTTTCACTCTTCTTTCTAATTGTTATCACAAATATGAAATTACTGTAATCATCTACCACTGTTAAAAATAACTTCCATCTATTGACTTCTCAATTGGTCCAACTAAAATCTATAGGCCATAATTCTAAAATGTCTTCAGATCCTAAATTCCCCACTTTTATAAGATTGTCAATTTTCCTATTGTACAAGTTTTGCAATTGTTTTGGGAAATTTTTATATTTTCTAATCCAATGACCGATGAGTTTATTTATTTATAATAATAATTGATATTAATGCCTTTGATAATTTATGTGACCTAGTATTTGATGCTATAGAACATCATTAACATTACTAATTTTAACTTCAACTATATTTCCTTCAACTTCAAATTTATTTCCATTTCCATTAACTATATATAGAATGTTTCTATGTTTATTGATCACTTCTGCTTTAGTTTTGGAAAAAAATACTTTTAAATCATGATCCACAATTCTTTATGCTGACAGCAGATTTTTACTTAAATTTGGTACTTGCAGAACATTTTCTACTCTCAAGATGTTCTCATTTTTATCAGTTTGCATTTTAATGTTACCAATGCCAAATGATTTGATATAAAGCCTTTTTCAGCTGTCTCTATTTATCTTAAAAATCAGTAAATATTTCTTTAATAGCTGTCATGTGAGATTATCATGTGATGTTATCATGTGAGATTATCATGAGATTATCATATCATTATCATGTGAGACATGGCTCCTGAATCAAAAACGCATTTAATTTTTCTATTCTCTTATTCACCTACTTTATTCTTTTCAACATTTCCATCTTGATTAAAACATGAAGTTTCTATTTTCTTTGATACTACAGATAAGCATGTACCTGTTTCATATTCTCTTCCCTTGATTGACATTCTATACATTTTATTTGTTAAATTTCTCTGCTTTCGACGTTCCTGTCCCCCCCCATTTTACATTCAGTTGATTTGTGGCTGAATTTTCCACAGCCAAAGCACTTTATACTATTATTATTACATTTGTTTATTAAATGCCCTAATTTTTCACAATTAAAGCATCTTCTTTCATATTTCGATTTTATCCAGGTTTTATTTATTTATTTATTTATTTTCTTTTTCTTGCCTTAGAACATACTTTTTTTTCTTTGTTTATTTTCCCCCATTCAGTTTCTTTTAAAGCTTGTCTGATTGAATCTTTATCCTTTTTTTCTTATTATTTTTAATAATTTTTAACATCAAATTGAAATTCCTTTTGAAGTCCTTCTAATATGAAATAAATTTAATTATTTACCTCTTATTTCATTCCCCACTTGAATACTTATATTTTCAGAAATACAGCTTTGTTCATGTAATCATCTACAGATTCATTTTGACTCATTTTCAGTTGAGCTAATTCTATTCTACATTTAATTTGAATATCTTCTGCTCTTGCCTCCACTTCATTTTTTATTTTCATTTATTAACTATCATAGTTTGATTCATTTATTAACTATCATAGTTTGATTCATTTATTAAGTATCATAGTTTGATTCATTATATTTCTTGCTATTGCATTATCATCCCATATTTCCCAAGTTTTTATTATTTTTTAAATTAACATCGCCTCTTTTATATGGTTTCGGTGGTTCATCAGCTTCTATCCCAATTCTCCATATATTCAAACTTTCTAATTCACATCCGATTCTATTTATCATATTATATGCCATATTTTCTAATTTATACTCATTAATCATAATATAAATAAAATTTATCTCACAGAAATTAGTGATGCCAACATCAATTTTATATATGAAAGTTCATCAGCAAGACGGACAACCCCGCTCTGCTGCCAAATGTTGGTCCAAAGTAGGTATATAAATCATATTGTATAAGAATTATCTACTGCTAATAAAAAACACATTCAAGTAATATATAAAGAGAAAACTTCATTAAATAAGATTAATCACAACAAGGCTTACCACATTCTCCAAAACCATAACCATCTCTCTAGATGCCAGATAAATTTTTAACTCAATCTTTTACAATCTAAGAAAATATTAATGTTGCCGCAATATTAAAACTTAAAATTATGCTTCATAAACAAATACTATCATTTGTTGTTTAATGAACAAGGTCACAGGAATAAAACTTAATCAAAATAAGAAGTGCCTATACTTCAGATACATCTAGAATACTTTTTATAAAGAAACATGCAAGAAAACTATGCAAAGAATGTCATCTGGCAGGAAGCATAAATATTGTGTTTTAGGTAAGAATGTATAGGTATGAAAGCATCCTTTCTCTACAGTATCCAGACACAACTAAAAAAAACACATATATTTTCTAGAAATGAAATTATTCTTTAAAAAATGTTCCATTACCACCAACAAACGAATATTTCTGAATTTAAAAAGTAAAACTTTTTTCAACTGAATTATTATATGAATTTAGATATTTGCATAACTAACCAGGGTTTTCAGATCCGGTAGTAGTTTCATCAGTCACAACAGGTATTTGGAATGTTCTCACAGCATCTGTCCCACCAAAAATTACAGATGAACTACCTACAAAATGTCAAAGTAAGTATATAGGTAAAGCCTTTTTAAAGACATGAAAGAGTAAAACTAGTGCTTTAAGAACTATTGCCAGTATATTTTTCATAAATGTCATAAAACAATCTATTAATATGGGGAAATATAAGCCAGACGTATTTACTTTTCTTGGAAACATGACATCAGCAAGTACATTCACTCTTTCTAAAATTCTAACCAATGTTTATGGAATATTGCCATGTCATGAAACAAAATATATATATATACATAAAGGAACATAACCACTTAACTTTCGACATGTATCCTTAACCCTTTCAGGATGGGTGTCCCATCCACGCATTCCCTAAGAACGTCTATTACAGTCAGGCGTCCCATCCACGCATCACTAGATTGCATTCAGAGGATGGGTGATGCGTATACGCATTTTAAGCTGGAACGATTTTCTGAAGACCACTAGATGGCATTCTATGTCCATTACTTTTGAAATGAACACAGTTTTAGGTTCCTGACCTTGAGTTTGATATATTCTGTCTAACTTTGGTATTTTACTCATCAACTGTAGCGAGGGTTGGGGAGAAGGGAAAGCGTAAACAAATGTGGGCTCTTTAAATCGCTGCGTGCTAATATAAATATTCGTGTGTATGATTTATATCCAATTCCTTTTTTTGTTCTATTTTCCCCCTCTACTATATATGGTCTTTTAGGGTTATCATGTGGAGTTCTATTACATTTTGCATTGCCTTCAGATATATTTCCGTTTCTCTTTTTGTTTCGGAAAGCCTCACCTCCAGTCTATTAAGGCAGGACGGCACTTTTTATCAGAGGAATACCCTGCTATGGTTAATGAACCATTTACTAATGCAGATGAGAGTGATGATTCTTTATCTAAAGAGTTAGAAAGTGGTACTTTTTCTAACAGAAAGTGATACTTCTCCGTGCTTCGAGATTTACCACACTCAGTCTTCATTTTAAATTTTGTTACTTTTCTTTTTAATTTTATTTATTTTAATTTTAAATTTTGTTACTTTTCTTTTTAATTTTGTACATAGTCTTTATTGTGTTGTTTTATTAATTTTAAACTTTATTGATTAATTTTATCTCAATTTAAACTTTGGAATAATTTCAATAGCACTTCCAAAAATTATTTTTCAAGTTAGGGAAATTTTTAAGTATATTTTCATGTAAAATAAGAAAAAAACTTTATTAGGTGCTAATTTTAGCATATATAAGAGCTCAAGTAATAATCTAAAATGATACCAAAAATTACGAAGCTAGAAGTGAAAAAATTTTTTTCCGATTTATTTTATAAAATTAGGCTTAGCAATGCAAAACCTCTGTCCTGTACGGTGACTGCCTTCGATTCCCTTCTGTCTCGCAACAGCATCTTAAACAAAGGTGCCCCGTCACGAAAAGGTTAAATACAATAGGCGCACAGTTTACATGGTTTTAATGGAAGATTTTCCTTTTATCCAAATCTGGTACAAAGTCTGTAATCCAGACACCCATTATCCGGAATGATTGATAATCCAGACCTCAAAGCCACAAACTTTTTTTTTGTATGCTTTACGCATGACCATTTAGCACAAAAAAACGAAGCAACTTAAAAACTTACATTGAAAGAAATGTTTAATAAAGTAAACAAATAAATATTAAGCTCTTTTTTTGTAAATTTGGATACCTTTTAGATCATAATTGCTCTTTATTTCATAAATTACGGTTTCATATTTTAATTGTATAATTTCTGTATGCCATCTTACCAGATTTAAATTGATGATCTATAATCTGGAGAAACCCTTAATCCGGAATCACCGAAGTCCCGACGAGTCCGGATTACGGACTTTGTACTGTAATCGGTGGGGTTTGCACCAATTTGGGGGAAAAATAATTACAGTCTAACAAATATTAAAAATCACCAGTTTTTAGTTAAATAACTCATAAGCAAATAAATTATGCATACATACCACTCTATTTTTCACTGGTTACGATACAAAAATCTATCATGAAAAGCTAAAATCCACCGGTATATTAAAATAAACACTTGCAGACATCATGCCTTTAACAGCGAATGAAAGCATTCTCAATGCCAACAAACCAAGGAAAAAAAATAATTTTAGTATGCATTATTACACTAATCTAGTATGTATACAGATGCCTGATGCAGCTATCACTTACTTCAGCAGTTTGAGTTTCTGCTTAAAATCCACCATAAATCAACCATTTCTAATCAATCATAATTCTGAAAACTCTTAGGAATAACCTCATACACTTCATACAGGAAATCTTAAAAAATTGCAATAACTCACATATGAAATGCATTTCAATTATGTTTAATGGCTTTCATTAACAGGGCATTTCCTTGATAATCATTTGCAATTAAGAAAGAGAAGCCATGTTATTTTTTAATAAATGTAATTCCTTGTCATGCACTGTAAACCTTTTAAACATTTCATTTGTCACAAAATTTTTTATTTCTCATGTTAATATTTACGCATGCATTATCAGAACAGTTCTAAAATCTGTTATACAATGACATGGAAAGAATTCATCTTGTAAAGCGACAATATACATTATAGCAAATAGTGCAACAATATAAAATAATATGCATTTTCCATTTCCTAGGATTTTTCTCTCATGGAAAAAGTTTGTTTCCACTAGGTTACTTTATGGTACAAATGGTATATATAACATATATGCACATACATGATATATATCAGTGTAGTGTATTTATATTGTCACTAATGTATTTTGTCATATAGCAGGGTATTATCTATTACAATTTTGACCAGTCAAATTATATATAGATATGGAACTGTGCAGTAATGTCACAAAAACTTCAAATGCAATTCTAGTCAAATTTTAGAGAGATATTTCTACAGCAGTTTTCAAACAATAATTTGTACATAATATGTAACACTTATTTTATCCTGAGCCATAAAAGGAACTATGAGAACATAAAAACATGTAAACCAACACATGCTTAGCTGTAAATTAACACTTTTTTACGCTTATTGCAAAACACGGGGAATGAAAAGCCTAGAATTTCATAATTTATCAATTACTAGCATATCTGGAAAATGTTCCATGGCATAAAATGAATACTCAGTCAAAAAATACTTAGCTTTCCCTAAAGAATATGATGATTAGAATACAACAATTTACAATTATTAGAATAGTTAAAATTACTGATTATAAGGAGGGAAAAAATGAGATAATTTCCTTCAGTTCAGAATATGTCTTAAAGAGATCGATACATATTTATTTTTATTATTGTTTTGCCACAGTAACACCACATTTTGAAATAAAAATACGATTTTAGGTGCAACCACAACCAGCAAAAAATTTCCAATCATCTTACATTTCATTACATTCGAATGAAATCGATAATATCATAAAATACACTAAAATTCCTCTTACCTGAAGAAGGAAACACTTCTTCCAATTGAAAAAACAAATTATCCTCTCGATCTTGAACCCGAAAAAAATCTAAGCCAGTGAAATCATCTCCTCTATCGAAACGTGAATTCTACATAAAAATAAAGTCTTTCAAAATATAAAACCACAAGTTAAATATACTGTTATTAAAGACCATTTTGCAATTTCAAACTAATAATGGATTTACAGACTTAAAGTTATTTTTAATTACAATTAACAGTAATACAGAAATATGAAAAAAATCATTTTTCTTCAAAACTAGATAGGATTATATGATTTTGTTTTACAATTTTTACACATAAAGCAATTCTTAATGCTACATCTGATGAACAAGCAGAACAATATTAAAGTTAAAAATTAAAATGTCTGTTTTTTTCTAACCAAGTATGAATGAAAAATAACTATGACATGGGAATTTGTTAATACAAATACTGCCAGTAACCTCATATCTAGATTGATCATTATGTAGGACAACTGATACACTATGCTACTGACTACTGATATATTTAAAGTAAATTAAATCAGTTTAACTAGCAACTCAGCTCGACATGAAAGATTTCAGGGTTTCAGGGTTGAATTTCAGGGTTTGCACACATTTCTTTAAAAGGCACTGTTTTCAGAACTATCAAAAGAAAATTTTAGGGCCTATCAGCAAAGAAAATGGAATAAATTATCTATGCAATTGGCTTCATTCTTACTATAAAATTACAAGAGAAAAATTAAAGTATTCAAATTGCAATCTAATACAAAACACAATCTAACATATAAACATAACTATCATTCAAGGCCCTATCAACAAAGAAAATGGAATAAGCTAACTTATTTATGCAATTGGCTTCACACCTGCTATACCATTACAAGAGAAAACATTAAAGTATTCAAATTGCAATCTAATACAAAACACAATCTAATACATAAACATAACTGTAAACAAGTTTTGGAAAATCAAATTTGGAAAAAAATTCAAGTAGTTAAATTAGGAATACAAGTCCTTGAAAGATTTATTTTTTCAAAGTAATAATAGTTGCACACATTTTAAAGAGGATTTACATACTCACTATGCAGCCAAAATTAATTTAAGTATTGGATGAATCATGCAGTTTTCCATGATCTAAAGATTGTACTAACATCAAAGAGCAAAATATGTAATTGTAAAATTCTAGCTGGTAAATGCTGTTTATACATAGAACTTTTCAAGAACTGATCCAAAAAATCTATGGTACTCAAGAGAATTGCTCAGACCAGAAGGTTATAGAAATGGAAAGAATGTGCAAGAATTTTAAATACTGATAGAAGTAAACTGAACTCGCACCAGTTGAGCAAGTCAATTAAAAAAACTGTGCAGTCTCAGAATCTAATGCTGCACGAGGTGTAGGTGCTTTGTATTATTGAAACCACCATAGTACAATATGCCAAAATTTCAGAATCTGTTAATCTAAACTACACACATAACAAATATTCAGGCTACTATGTACATGACATTTCTTCAATTTTAACAACTATTGTGAGCACTCTGGTATGCATTTTTCTTTCTTTTTGTTTATGATTTTCTGTTTAACCTTTTGCGGCACAGTGTGTCTGGTCTGGTCTGGACACACCTAAAAATTTCCTTCTGTACGCACAGAAAAATCGAATGAAAAAGGATTTATAGGTTACTCTGAACCTTCTTTATTTATAGCAGATGGCAGCTCAACACAAACCAGTCCATATATTTTAGCCATGTTTAGTTTTTAAGACCTTCATTTTTCAAAGAAATTTTCCAAAGTTTTTTAGGGTATAAAAGGAATTGTTTGAAAAAAAATTTCTATGTTATTTTTTTGGCTGCATGCTAATCTCCTTATTCTATATTAGTTTTAAATTTTTACCTTGAAATCTTGCCTAAAATCAAATGGCAAACCCTAGGTGTGCCCAGACCGGGCTCACCGATAATCTAGGACTACCGAGAGTCTGTATTCTTTGTTTCTCCGCATTTCATCGGCCAGTTCATTGACAACAATGCTCGTTTTCAGCACTCTTTTCGAAGCTCTATTCAATCAGTATGCCACAGAATTAAAACTATAAGTGCTATCGTCACAAAATTTTACTTGTGTACTCCTCTAGGCTTAATTAAACTGCCTACTTTCTTACTAAATAAAAACTCCGACTTTAAAAAGCAGCGTGCACAAAAGTGTTAAAAAACCAACAGTTTTTATAGACATTTTGTTTTAAACAACTGATATTAAAACCTTCACTGTGGGATTTGCTTTCCTTGCAGCAGAAGAAAAGAGATAAGAATTTCCGATTCGAATATAGTATTTTGTAGCAATGCTTCAACTCGATTTCTGAGCGATCACTACAAAATTTCCATCAGAACCAAAGTCCAATTATATAAACTGGTGACTTTTGTCAGATGAACAGTTAAAAAATTACTTAGCGGGTGGAAGATGAAAATACAATAGCAATACATGAAAAGTTATTTAATCAAATTAAAATACAGATTTTAATTTTTAAACAAAGATTACATGAATACGTATCTAACCTTTAATTTTTTCGTTATTCTTTTTCCCAAGTACACACTTATTTGTTTTTGTTTAAAAAAGAAATCAGAAAATTGTTCATAAAAACATTTAACTTGGAACACAACATACAAAAATGGCAATGTCTATTATTAGCATGGTTGCCTGAACAATGACAATGCACATGGTTTCCACAGTTTGGCACATTCTGAAATTTGACGACTTCCACCAAGGTGGTTGCGATTATACGCATATAAATAAAAAGCATATTGATTGTTTTCTGGAATAAATACATAGTTGAAACATTAATTATATATGCAATAAATAACTTTTTTACAACAAAAAAACTTTGTTTATAACTTGTTATGTAGTTGATTGGGTTAAATTTGTACTACACGAGGGCGTGAGATGGCTATCTTTCCAAACCAGAGGATGCTTTTGAGGACATTTTAAAAGAGAAACTAGCTCATATTCATATTACACATGGGAAAAAAATTAAGGACCTGCAAAAAATCACATGCTGCCAGCTCATTCAATGGACTTTGAACCTGTGTCCAAATATAAGCACTCAATGTTCTTGCCCTGATTAAACTGACTTTTCTTTCAAAATTGGTAGTTTTATATTTTGTATCACAGGTTACCACTTCTCTTCAATTTCACTCACTAAATGGCAGTCCAATAAAAGTTTACTTCATACTAAACAATTATGGCTACTTTTCAAATTAGTACGGAATAAATAATAATTACCTGCACAAAATAACTGGTAATATGATTTTTGTAGGTCTTAAAGGAAATGACTAATCCCATCTAAAAGCTTTATTCGACATACATTAAAATTTCCAGTTAACTAACACCAGTATCACATTTACTAACTACCCTCAACAGCTTGTCAAAATATTTCTGAGAATTTCCGCTTTTGGGATATCCGACTGGTTCATTCATATCAAAACTAGTTCTTTGGAGAACCCCCTACAAGGAAATGTGCTTTTATTGAAATATTTTCCTCTCAATACCAAAATTGCAAAATGTCCTGTATAGCTAGCCAGGACATCGGTTTCAAAGACTGGTATTGGCTAAGAAGTCTTCAAAGTTGGAAGAGGCTTGTTTCTACTACTGTTGCTCATCATCAAATGTGATAAACCCATAACATATTCAAAATGATGAGAATGCTTATTTGAAAGGGGGAAGAATGTTATTGTTCTGAAATCCCGTTTAGGGTGAATAAGGCATGTAGGTTCGTTCAAGGGAAAGAATGTAAACAAAATAATGTTCGCAAAAAGCAACTGAGTGGTCTTTTGTGTGGGAACAGCACCAGTCTAATGACAGGGCCATCCAAACTATGTACAATGACCATCATAGGAAATATTTTACTTTTAGTGCACCTAAACGTTGCATGGGTACAAACACCGCACCCGCTGAAAAGTTAAGTTTTAAGCATGTAAACGCCGCGGCGTTTCTTCCGAAAATTACAGTATGTCCTTGCATGAAGTAGAAAAAGTACTGTAATCCTGAAAAATTTCAATTTTCAGATTTCATTGGAAATATCCATTTTGACCAGTTGCCTTGTGATGTCAATACTTACGTAAACTTAGAAAAATATTCGTCATAAAATATAAACTTTATATTTGGGACTTACGGCTAGTTTCGACGTTAGTTTCGCTAGCAGAATTGCTTATGCAAATGAGGTTGCAAACTGTATAAGTATTTAAGATATGGCTTTAAGCCAAAAGAGAGGGAAAGACTTTTCAATCAGTTCATGTCTACTGTTAAGGCTCGCTGACATTTGAAGATGTATTGTAGTTTTTTACATTCCGCTCACTACATATGTAGTATTAACCCTTTGCACTCGAGCGGTGCCTTTCAGGCACCATTCGAATCTATGAGTTTATTTGTGTTTGACCTAAGGAATATCGCTTAAGAGATCTACTTAGCATTTTGTAGATCATAATATGAGGTGTCTGAATAGCTATAAGGATGCCTTATCTCAAATAAAAGTTGTCTTTGCAATGCTTATGCGATTAAATGTCTTATCTCAAAAATACTTGTGACCGCAGATAGGACTCTGTCTTCGACATCAGTTCGAACTCAACCTTCTTGCCGATCGCAGTATTTCTTTCAAAGTTACCGAGCCCAATAAGTATGGAACACGACGAAGAAGTTACTTCTAACAAAGATGAGTTTAATTTTTCAGCAATAACGAACGGAATTACATCACTATATAGACAACTTGCCCATGAGAACGAAGACGGAAGTGATAAAGATAGTGACGATGTTAGAGGAGCAAGAAGACGAAAAATCCAAATAATCGATAGTGAATCTGGAAGCCAAAGTGATTGTACAGAAGAGACTGAACCTTCAGAATGGACAGTGTGCACAGAAAAGCGCCTCGAGCGCAAAGGGTTAAAAGGCCTAACTTCTCATTACTACTGTCTGTAAAGCATTGAAGTTTAGTTATGATTTAGTTAAGTTAGTTTATTTCTTATTTTCTACGTTTTAGACCATAAGTGCTGGTCTCTGTATCCCAAAGTGTGGGAATGGCTGTACGCTGAGAGAAAGAAAGGGTAAATTTAACCCTTCTTTACCTTTGTTGCATCTT